CCCCAATAGTTTAAATTCACTGAATTCACTGAAATCTTTGCTACATCTATTCAGTAATGTCACTATTTTGGAGCACAATTTCAGTATTTATAAATAGCTTCAATAGCTATTTTGACTTTCTTCGATCATTTTAAACCGATTTGTCTTTACCATGGAGTATTCGTAGCGTTGACATGATGCCCCGATACACTGGCAGGTAGCGATTCAATCATGCCCGGGTTCCAATCCCCAGGGGGCCAATTTGTGAAACGAAATATATTCTCAAAACATGGTCCCGAATGACTTCCACGATGATTGAAAAGTTCTGGTTGAAAAGCCGCTTTTCCGTCGTGATTACATTTAATACCAATCAACATTTTAATGTTGCCATATTATTTTAAAGTTTGCCTAGAACAACCTTCGTTATGATTAGCATCGGTACTTTTGAAGCAAAGGGACATTGGTCCGTTCCGGGAAAATCCTTGAGCAATTAAGATATTATAATCGAATCGTTTTAAGTGAATTATCCTGAATTAACTCCAAACTACGTAGCTTTTGTAAACATTCGTTAGCGGACTCGATTCTTGGAGATCGTCGAATAAAATTTTCTAGCGAGACTGAACAGTTTTTCATTTCGTGATTCAATTTTCTTTCGTTTCGGTTGATTGAATTAACTTTAAACTATTCCTATTCTGCATTACTATTTTTGGTATTCAAATATAAATCTTATATAGTTTAATATAGCTATTAAAATCTTTAAGCGCTTAGGCATTGCTTTAGATCTTCATCTCCTAATTGTCATCGCACCTCTCGCCTCCGGATCATCCACAATGCGTTTATCGACAGATCTTTTTGCTACGTACCATCTTCCCGAATGAACAATGAGCTGCCTTCTACGGCATTTCCGAGATCGCTATGACATATCTTTATTGAAATGAGATTTGTGGAGAAAACTGGGCGGTAAGTCGCAACTTGGATGTGCCCTTGATCTTACTGATGTCCATGAGCGACGGTAACCACTCACCATCACACTGACCATGCTCTTCTGCCTAAAAAAGTAATAGATAAGACATTACTGCTTCACGCCAGAAATATGCAGGGTGGTGGCACCTATCCTTGTTTGCCGACTAGACCTACCTACCACCGATAATTACGTAAATTATAAATTTTACGGGTTTGATTTGTGTTACGTGATTTTGCTCCGTCGTGGTGGACATCATTCGTGAACATCTCGTCAAGTAAGTATTTCATCAGAAAAATTGGTACCTGCCTGCGGGATTCGAATTCGGCACATGCGATACGATGCGCTAGATATAAGTGCACTGGAAATCTTATCTCGCAGTCTACGACGATATCAAATTGAAGTCATCGGATAATTAAGTTAAAGTGTGACCATTTAAAGAACTAAACTCTATTGCAACAAGAATTAACAAAACTCATTTTAGCAGTGCTAAAACAAAATTATATTGCTAGTCAACAAAGACGCGGTCCTATGTAAATTATCTTAGAATCTCGGTCCCGGTATTCGCCCTTGGTCCGTACTTAGTCCGATTGCCTTAATCCTACAAACCTGACAACAACAATACCATTATCGGAACAATTACGTCCGGAACCGAACCGCTTTGCGTGACATCGTCCACTTAGCCATACATTTATCCATACGTTTTACTTTGATTGGACCCGACGTTTTCCGGCACCCTTTTAATTCGGTTCGCTTCCATACTCCATCAAGCTATACTCACTTTATTGCGGTTGTTGAAAACAATGTGAATAATTTATCAGAAACACATTGGCTTGGAGTTAATAACGAGATAATATTAGAGGTCGCAGTAAGTTGGGATATGGCTTTGGGTGGAGGACGACACTGAGACTATTTAATTACCTTTTTATTCAAATTCATTCTCTATACTATAAGAGTCACACAAAATCTTGAAATTCTATAAACCTGTATATCATTTTTCGAAATACTAAGTTTTTTTTTAAAATTCTACTCCTTTTCGTCCAATGATCTTAATACATACGTACGTCCGTTGGATTGTCTCAAGATCTCCATTCTAGGCAAGATAAGAACAGTATGAAAATCCTCAGAAAAACTGACCTTAGAAGACAACGCGAAGAAATCCCGTTTGCTTTTTTTTATTTATTGCTTAGATGGGTACACGAGCTCACAGCCCACCTGATGTTAAGTGGTTACTGGAGCCCATAGACATGTACAACGTTAATACGCCATCCACCTTGAGATATAAGTTCTAAGGTCTCAGTATAGTTACAACGGCTGCACCGCCCTTCAAACCGAAACGCATTTACTGCTTCACGGAAGAAATAGACAGGATGGTGGTACCTAGCCGTGTGGACTCACAAGAGGTCCTACCACCAGTAATAAGTTGCTGGTTTGATAGTTGATAGGTACAGCGTGATTCAATTGAGTCTACGTCTATATGTCGATAACCATTAATTTATCTTCAAATGAGTCGTGAGCTTGTTCATTGATTTAAGCAGAAACATCATAGACTTAAATAGGTTCACGAACTTTGATTTCATGGTCCGTATTATCGGCGGACGTTACCATTGTAGATATAAAAGTCAATTGCCTTAGTCCCGACGCCATAACATTGAACGTGTCAATTTAGTACTGACTTAGTAAGCATTGCTTTTTATTGTCATGTGTTCGAGCGCTAACACTCATAAACCCAAGACAAATAACAAGAAAAACTTTACTGGCATTTTATAGATCTACATACAAAAATCAAATGCCTGACCAATATTTTAAGCATTTTATTTAAAGCAAGATTCAGACTTTTTTATCAACTATTGACTAGAAAATATTTAAAATAACAATACAAAATGAATCATCACATCATTTTCTTCTATTTTTTAGCAAAGCCAAACACATTTATGCTCCTTGAATGAAATCGTGTGCATTATAAAGTGATGTACTTTAGTGATGTGAATCACTTTGTCCAATTTATTAAGTTCATTGCCTCGATCGATCAACAGCTTAATACTGAGCACAGAATCTATCAATGCTCAGTGAAAGCCATGTGTTGTTTCTGAATAGCTCAACTTTCAACTCAATGACGCACAAGTTCTGAACATAAAAACTACGTAAAATCAATATTAATATCCCTATTCCCTATAGTATTCGTAAATACCTTTTACCGTGTAGTTTTCTGACGGCGCTTGTAACTAAGTGCTTGATAATTAGGACAAGACGTAAGATCGTCTACACGGAAAGCCAGAGTTTCGTTTCTAATTCATTCTCGCTAAGTGAATGTCAAACTTTTATGGAAGTTCTTTCCTTATTAGTAGACTAGCGACCCGCCCTCGCTTCGCTTCGGAAACATTAAAACACACATGAAACCAAAAAATAAAAAAATTTTTTTTTTTAAAAAAGTAGCCTATGTTCATCAGGGACAATGTCGGCTTCTAATGGAAAAAGAATTTTTCAAATCGGTCCAGTAGTTTCGGAGCCTATTCGAAACAAACAAACAAATCTTTCCTCTTTATAATATTAGTATAGATATAGATGAAGCACCATTAACAAAACTTGTGAAAGGTTTCACAGTTACAGTTGCTGAAATTATTCTAAAACCTTTACTGAAATATGTTTCCATTGATTGATATTCTTGCATTTTATGTGTTCCTGTTTTTTTAATTGCAAAAACAAGCTGATGATCGGTCTGATGTTAAGTGATTGACGGAGTCCACAGGCATCATATCGTGAATGCCACCACTCAGATTGAGTCCCCTGATATTTAAGTCACAATTGGATTAAATGGGGGTTTCCCAGTTCTTCGAATTGGATCGCATAGCTTGTTTACAGTAGAACCAGCCAGGGTGGTATTTTCTATAGGCTACCTTTTAGATTTACTAGGTAACAGGAGTAAATTGTAATCTAACAGATTCACAATACGTTTTCAAATGTTATATTATTATCGCATTTCATAAATTTAATTCCTTAATTTATTTATTTATGAGTGAGAGACTAGAGTAGTTAAAAATAATTTAAAAACAGATGAAAATAAATAGAAGTGGAGTTTCACAACTGTTGCTGCATTTTTAAATCGATTAATTATTTTCTTAACAAAATATATATATGATTGTTTCTTAAATATTTGCCAACTTTCATTGATTAATGAAATGTACTAGTGTTTTCGGTGATTTTGTATGAGTATTATATTATGTTTATTCGAATGAATCCCGAAATGTTCTTAACGGCACTTTTCTAATATCGATAGTGCTTAAGAAAGTCTTAATCACAACAAAATTCTCAAAATTTGATGTGTAATCCACTAATATTTAAAACCCATTTATCGTTAACCCAAGAATCTATACATTTTTTTTGTTTCTCTAGTCTTGACTCCATGTGGATAAGGTAAACAGCGTTTCCAGGGTGACGTTGTGCAGAGGAATAATTATCCATAGTAAAATACTGTTTGTCCAGATTTGAACGTAATTGTGAGTTGGTTAGATTCCAGTCCTATTCGGATTAGTTTAAAAGCTATTTATTACGCCAGAGAACTTGGCCACTTGACAGTAAAACTTTACCGCTTTCGAATTCAACAGAATTTGTTATTGAATTAAATTTCTCGAGCTAAAGTTAATCTATATTTTAATTATTTAGAAAGGAAACTACAGGAATCTAGTTCAATAAGAAAAGGTATTCTTTACTGGTGATAGGACCTCTTGTGAGTCCGCACGGGTAGGCACCACCACCCTGCCTATTTCTGCCGTGAAGCAGTAATGCGTTTCGGTTTGAGGGGAGGGGCAGCCGTTGTTACTATACTTGAGACTTAGAACTTATATCTCAAGGTGGGTGCCGCATTTACGTTGTAGATGTTTATGGGCTCCAGTAACCACTTAACACCAAGTGGGCTGTGAGTTCGTCTACCCATCTAAGCAATAAAACAAAATAATGAAAAGAAGCGCTTAATAATTTATATAAACACGCGAAACGGATCCAATTAATTTATATTTTACTACTACAAAATTTTAACGATTTAAAAACAAGTGATTCTCACCTTGCGCATTCAGCTCTGTGGCAGCTTTTGCAAGATCTCTTGTAGCAATGGCGGAAGAACAGCTCGGTCTCCATCCATAAGGTGGTTGACCACTTGAAGATCTCTTGTTCGATCCTCCGGAACAGTACCCCGAACTAGCAGTATCACAGCTAACGTTCACAGATTTTCTCGGGCTGGCCTCTTTACTAGGACAGATATCTCCCAAAGACATAACAACTTCGCCAAACTCAGTTTCTTCAGGACCCACTTCAGTGAATGTACTATAGTTTGGGCTTATATCTGAAGGTCTTCTATCAGGGTGCAGATAATGGGAATGATGAGCAGCATGTGACGTGTGCTTTATATGTACAGAGTTCAATAGAATATTTGACGAAGTTCTCGTTAAGGCTTCTCTTTGTCTGATCGCTTCCCGGAATATTCGGCAGTACATCGAAATCATGACCAAACTCGGAATCCAGAATGAAACGCTCGAAGATACTATAGCATATACCATATTGACTTTGAAAATGCACACATCAGGGTGATCCTTCCTATATTGGCGGTGTTGCTCAGTCGTATACCAACCCTTGAATATGGGCACGAAACTAATGAACGCGGGCCACAGCCATACGTTTGCGAGCATGAAGCAAACAGTCCTATGAGTCATGGTAACCGGGTACTCGAGGGGCCGCACTATAGCGTAATATCTATCAACAGATATGCAGCACAGATGAAGTATAGAAGCACTGGAGAAGTAAACGTCAAGAGAATTAAAGATATCACAGGCTAACGGACCAAACAACCAGGCGTCAGTTAATTCGGAGCTGGCGTTAAAGGTCATTGCGCATAAGGCGACTAACATATCAGCCACAGCAAGACTAACAACGTAGTAGTTAGTGAGAACTCTGAGCTTCCTGTGTCGATGTACTGATATGATAACGAGAGCGTTGCCAAATAAAGCGCCGAGGATTATTGTGGAGAAGATGAGGCCTTTGATGATGAGGATGAAGGTATGCTGCCAGTCGTGGTCGGGCGCGGCAGGAGGCGCCAGCGTTGAATGCAGCCCGTCGAGAAACGCTGACTCCGTACCGCGCCCTCGCGCTTCTACCTCGCTCCGGAATACACCATCTGACAACAAAAACACATTTCTCATTCATTTTGGGTTTTTTTTACACAGGAATAGCTTAGTACGATTTTTGCCGGCTACATTGCTCGAATAGTGGCTATCTCATAATTAGCGTACACTAAGCTTACAAATTATTTTGCTAAACAAATTCTAATCACGGTATTTATAATGGTGAGCTCTTATTATTTTCGCGTTTTTACAAGCGCCTTGGTAAGGATTAAAGCTTACCAACATTACTGTGATGTAAAACTACACCGTTGCCATAAAATTTGGTAGTAGATGGTAGGACTTCTTGTGAGTCCGCACGGGTAGGTACCACCACCCCGCCTATTTCTGCCGTGAAGCAGTAATGCGTTTCGGTTTGAAGGGTGGGGCAGCCGTTACAACTATACTGAAACCTTAGAACTTACATCTCAAGGTGGGTGGCGCATTTACATTGTAGATGTCTATGGGCTCCAGTAACCACTTAGCACCAGGCGGGCTGTGAGCTCGTCCACCCATCTAAGCAATAAAAAATATTATTTCTTTAGTAGCCGCAATGCTCCAAGCATCCTTCAAAAAGTGATCAATGTTTACTGCTGTAGATTGTGATAGTTGGAATTATCAGTCATAAAACGTGTTGTGATTGGCTCCTACTTATTATAGCCAATTGTACATAAAAAGACTGCCATTTACGTTCGATGCTTACATCATATTCAAGAATTCAAGAAGCAAGAAATTCGTATTCAAGGAATCACAGAAACAAATGTGGATAAAATCAGGCACGACTGATAAGTTTGACTATTACGGGCTCTGTCTCGCTCAGCTTCTATCCGTTAGCCGCAAGACGGGTTAAGCTTCATCGAATTAGTTTGGACATTTAATCAGCCTTAATTTGTTAAATCACCGCGTGAATACGTAAATACAAACAAATCGGTGAGATCTTCTGATTTGTATAATATTCTTATTAAAAAGGACGTGAGTGTTATAAAGATATTTCTATTTACGTAAGTGGATTGATGATCTTTTTAAATACAACTACGATTTCATCCTTTTTCATTTGGCTAATGTCTAAATCAGTATACATAATATATTATTACTGTAATCTATACCTAATTGCTGTTCGTTAGTCTTGCTAAAATTCGAGAACGGCTGGACTGATTTGGCTAATATTGGTCTTAAATTATTTGTGAAAGTCCAGAGAAGGTTAAAAAGGTAGATAAATATGAAAATGCTCGGAATTAAATAAAAATAACAGTTTTGTTTTTCCTTTGATGTGTCCCCCGTCGGACGGATTCCTTTTGTTTATTTTAAGTTTATTTTATACAAAAGCTTAGGCCTTTTATTTATCGATTGAGCCACTACGAAGTCTGCCGGGTCAGCTAGTTCAATATAAATATAAATTTGTTTTAGAAGAACATCCGACGGATACTGGAATCGCATTTTTACCTTTTTTACCCATTGAAATACATGTTTCTCTTCGAATTACCCTAGTTAATTTAATTAAGGAGACCGTGAAGGAAATTTCAGAATCGAGACGTGTGACCAATACCGTATGATTAAAGTTTAATTATCGTTCAAACCGCAGGAATTACCGGAGCACCGTTCTGTCATGACAGATAATAAGGAGAATTCTATTCAGTGCTTTTCAAACGCGAAACGGACCCAAGATGGCGTTTAATTAAATAGGACATTTATGTGGATAACGAATCCAATTTCGGGTAGAATGTGCGATACGAATCACAATCACGGATTTGATTATTTTATTATTGTCAAGATAGTAGAACGAACAATCAAAGAAGATAAAGTGGAAAGATTTAGTGCTGAAGGATAATAGGTAATGCAATGTTACTGTTGAGGATGTTGAAGACAGGCGTATCTTTCTGTAAGATTTTGTAGAATTTGTTTTCCCTGCACCTGCAAATAAAATGTGTGTGTGTGCGCGCTCGTGTGTGTGCGCGCTCGTGTGTGTGCGTGTGTATGTGTATGTATGTGTGTGTGTGTGCGCGCGCGCGCGTGTGTGTGTGTGTGTGTGTGTGTGTGTGTTGTGTGTACATATATTGATTAGTGCATGCGTGAAAATTACGATGAAAAATAAGTAAAGTCAATGTTGAATTCGTTAATCTCAAGATAACAGTCTTAGGCTTAATTTATTCATGTGTTACATGGCTTTATTGTTCATTTACTAATTTTTCTACCAGTAAATAAGTTGACCAGAGCCGATTTCAAGTTCACGATAAATCGATACATAGTCATTTGCCAAAATTAAATAACTATAGAGTCTATGTACTGCTGAGCTAATGCCAAGTTCGAATAAGTGACCATAAAGTTTAAGCTTTATTAATACCTTTAAGCTGTATAACGCAAAACTGAAAAAACGTATTGTTACATCGCGAAGAGCTCGCAAATGAAATCGTACGATTTTTCTAGAAACAATCTTTATGTTTCTCTCAAAGCTGCGCGTCGTCTGAGCTTCGCACAGACTTTTCAGCTAAGTAATCCTTAAATCTGGGCTCAACAAATCCTCGTTTTACTTCATTACTTCAATAATGTCGCCAACTTTAACTTTATTGCCGCTTATTTAGCGGGTACCTTTTGTGGAGAACTTTAACGATCAAATTATATTTATAACGTTCTTTTGTTTTATTGGAATGGAATAGTAAAAAAAATGTTTTTTTTTTTAAATATATTTAAAGTAATTGTGCTGTTTTTGTATGGTATATATAATTACAGGCTTTATTGAATAGATAGCAGTTCCAAGGGAGGAAATAGAGTATAAATTAAAAAAAAATAATCTTAGATAAAGGCATAGCAGTTCCAAGAGCGGAAATAGAGTATAAATTTAAAAACACTAAAGCTTATCAACCGAATGTAAGTTAACGAGTCATAAATAAAGATACTACTAACAATTCAGAGCGTTAGAAATAGCTGATTGCTTGTGTTGACAACTAATCTCTTTACATTTTTGCTCCACTACATACATAATTATATATACTTCACACCTTTATACAGAAGGACACATGATTATATTTGATAATTTATATTATAGCCGTCTTCAAACATTATAGTGATCAAAAGCCATAAAAATACTAGTACGTAAATTATTTCAGAATCTGTAATATTTTTACTTCCACATTACATAGGCAAACATTGATTATTTCGTATTATTAAAATCCGAAAGGGTTTTATCCCATTAATATTGAAATGTCTCCATATCTGTAAGTTACTGTGAGCCTTGATGACTCTTTGCACTTTATAGATCATATCAAATGTCTTCGGAACAAAACACTTAATTTCAAAAGAATTATATTACCTAGATTTAAAGTAAGACTTCCATAACACTTGACGAATTTTGTTTGTTTCGCAGAATCTCGCATCGATCGGCACCAGCTGGCTGAAGGTCATTCTGACCGTCGTTTGGCAAATCTACCCGGCTTGGAAGCCAGCCAAGAAGTTCGCAGCAACGTTTACCAATATTTTGGGAAGATGTAAAATTTACGGCTCTATGTAGACGACATGCTCTCTGCAGCTTTTAACAGTATTAATACTTGCATGAAAAATGATGTAATGTAAACATAAATTATTATTTTTATTTTGATAAAACGATGCTGCAGTACCACAGCTGCTGCTGATGCTGCAGTAGAACTGTTTGTGCTTATAGCAGATGCATAAATTGTGAAAATCTGCTTTCTTTTGTAGGGCATTTAAATGTTCGGTTTTGAAATGTCGTTCGTCGATCTTTGTTGATTAACTTTGTTTAATCCTCTTTAAAGGTTTAAATTCCAAAATTTTAAATCAATGAAATCGTTTAAACAAATTAGGTATGTTTATACATTAGCAACGGTTTTTAACTGATCAGGTATACTGTTTCATAAAACATTGGCTGTCCCATAATATTTTTGCTGTCTGTTCTTCAAACAAACGCCTTAGTTGACAAATAAAACAATTCGAATGTGTTGATGTAAGCGTTTACTGCTTTTTGTTCTCAGAAGGGTGATTTATTAATATGGATTTCATATATTTGTTAGGCTGTAATAGATTAATATAAAAAGGATCTAAAATTAGAACTAATATTACGGTTAAATAATGGATTTATTACTCTCATTATGTTCTTTCCGATGTTACAAATACTTTGGATTTCGTGATTGCGGATTTGACTTTAAAGCAAAAATAAACTGTAAATAAACTTCAAAATAGTTTTCTGAAAACGGTAGGTGATAAATAGTTTTTTTTTGTTGTTGTACAGAAACGACAAGTCAATTTAATTATGTTTTCCTAACGGTTCTAATAGACTCCTAACAGCCTAAACAGGAATTCCTTTTAATTGAAACAGATAATAAAAGAATTGAAATGAAAACTGGTATTTTATAAAACATATTATTCTTCTTCTTTTAATAACGAAAGCGTAGTTCGTAACTTCAATATTTATTTATTTCTCCTTTGCGATAAGATAAAAGAAGTATGGCATTTAATAATTAAGGTAGGTACTCTTAGTGTGGACATGGTGGAATTATCTTAGATAAAACCTGAAAATTGTAACCAGAGGTAAACTAGTGGTAGTCGGATATTGTTTCAGGTTTTTCAATGCAATTTAAAAACTTCTGTTTTAACTTGCGCTACTCAATCTTTTTAGACTGTGGTTTAATATAACAACAACATAAAGGTAAATTGGCACAAAGAATGAAAGCACTGAATTCTAAGAAATCATTTAAAAGTAATTCGATACACAATTTCGATCGAATGCAGCCATTAATTTTAAATGAAATTGTGCTATTGATTTTCTTTAGAATCGACAAGGCCGCGGCCTATTGCAAGTCTCGACTTTTGATCACCGGTCAAGGAATTTTAGGCCTTATTTCATTAGGGTTTGTCTCGTGATTGCCGGTTCTTTTTTTTTTTTGCCCATGTAGGCAGGCGACCATACAGCCCACCTAATGGTGAGTGGTTACCGTCGCCCATGGACTTTAGCAATGCCAGGGGCAAAGCCAAGCCGCTGCCTACTGCTTAATACTCTCCACAAGCCTCGTTTCAAGAAGGACATGTCATAGCGCTCGGGAAACACCGTGGAGGGGAGCTTATTCCATAGCCGGATGGTACGTGGCAAGAAAGTCCTCTGGAAACGCACTGTCGATGAACGCAGCGGTTCCAGATAATATGGATGAACTCTGCTCCGATGGCCGGAGGTGCGATGATAAAAAGGAGATGAGGGGATCATCTCAAACAATTCCTCAGTTCTGCAACTATGGGACTGTTTTTATAAGATTCCATTTTGATAGCAATTTGCTTTGTCTGTTTTTGTCGCGAATTCGTTGTGCTTATTCCAGCCTAATAAGGCTAAAACGGAAACGCAGCTGATGAAAAATGTTTCCAGAGCTAATGGGAAGTCAGGAAAGTCTATTAACCTAAAACTGCCGTAATCACCGTTGTCCCTTAAAGCATCTCGTCGAAGTTTCAATTTTGAGTTATCAGGTCAATCTAGCTTTAAAACTAGCACATGACATGACTATATCGCTTCAAAACGGGCGCGTGGTCCTTTACCAGGTTCTTAATTATTGTAGCTTAAAAAAATGCGGCTTTGATTTGTGTTACACATCGTTTTACTCCTTCACGATTCGTGAACAGATCTAAAAGTTCGTATTTCTTTACCAAAATTAGCGCCTATCTGTTGTGTTTGGAGACAGTCTATAGTCGCATACACATCGGGTGTCTTTTCATTGTCGTCACAACCACCTCGAAATTGAGTCGTTTTTGCCTTGGCGGAACCTTTGCCCGGGCTTTATTACTGGTGGTAGGACCTCTTGTGAGTCCGCGCGGGTAAGTACCACTACCCTGCCTATTTCTGCCGTGAAGCAGTAATGCGTTTCGGTTTGAAGGGTGGAGCAGCCGTTGTAACTATACTTGAGACCTTAAAACTTATAGCTCAAGGTGGGTGGAGCATTTACGTTGTAATGTCCATGGGCTCCAGTAACCACTTAACACCAGGTGGGCTGTGAGTTCGTCCACCCACCTAAGCAATAAAAAAAAACCAAACTCTAGTGAAGATCAAAGAACTATTCATGTCAGAAAAATATGCGGGTTCCTTAGCAAATGATAGTCATTTCATTCAAATCGGATGTATCAATTGATCAATCGTAGCTGGACTTAACGAACAATCACATGATTATTTGATGACAAGGGCAACTATATATAATGGGCTTTTTCTGTAATTAAATTTCAATGTATTACCGATATAAACCTGTGGCGTGCTGCCCTATGTGAAACACAATCGCAGAATCCCGGGATGGCAGCGTCTCCTTAGTGCAGCCCTGTACATCTCGCCATTCAAACGAATGTACAGTGAATGCTGCGGTGACCGAAACTGGTCGCCAGTCGAGGCAACCACACCGAGACGAACGCACGTCGCTCCGCGCTCCGCCGCTCGCAGATATTCAACACGATACAACAACATTTTACCGACCAGCA